GTGAGATGTGGACCCATCTGCACAGCTGCAGGAGAAATATGGTGAAATGTTTACAATCTACCTGGGTCCCAACCTGCTGTTGTCCTGTGTGGATGTGAGGCGATCAGGCAGGCCCCTATGGATAAGGCTGGAGCCTTCTCTGGCCAAGGGCTCAAGATCACTGACCACATTTTTCAGGGAACTTGTAGGTGGAGGGGAGGAGGAGGGAACATCACATGATTCCTCCCAGTGTTCATTCCATGTCTTACTAATCAGGTGTGACCTTTGCCAGTGGAAAGTGTTGGAAAGTCTTGCAGAGATTCTGTCTGGGCACCATGAAGGACGTCGGGATGGGGAAGCAGAGCACTGAGGAGTGAGTCCAGGAGGAGGCTGAGCATTTGTTGGAGAAGCTGGGGAAATCTCAGGGTGAATCTGGGTGGTGGGGTTGTGGGAAGAGTGTCCACAGGATGGCAGCATAAAGAGGGAGAGCATGACTGACAGAGGCTCAGAGACAGATGTAGCAATGGGATCAGGGAGAGAGAAAAGAGATAGCAGGAGACTTAAAAGAGGAAGAATAAAGTATACCAAGAGAGGAGACAGAAAAGCTGTGGATACAGACAAAGATCAATCTAGACATAGGAACTTCAAGATAAAAATTTAGAAACAAAGAGGACAGATATTGAAATAGGGCAGGCTCAAAGTGCTAGCAGGAGAGAGAGATACAAAGAGAGGTTTATGAAAGAGAGCAGACACACTCTCAAAGAGTCAGAGGTAAGACTAAAGAGAGACACTGATACACAAAGTCATGCCAGGTGGACCCCTAAAAGACAAGAGACCTGAGAGGGAGGTGCACAGAAAGAAAAGCTTAAATAAAAAGACCCAGTGAAAGATAGCCTTGCCAAGAGACAAAGAAAGCAAGCTCATATCGGAAGGCCAAGCAACAGGTCAAAGACATCCAGGAATATGTAGGGAACAGCCAGGTCTCCAGGATAAACCTCTCTCACCCCCAGGGACCTATTTGGACCCATCCATCCTCCTTCAATCTATGATGGCAAACCCCATCTGCTCCATCATCTTTGGTGAGCTCTTTAATTACCAAGACCCCAATATCCTATAGCTGTTAAGTTTAATGAATGAATCCTTCAACACCATCAGTTCTTTCTACAGCCAGGTGAGGTCAAAGAGGAAGATGTATCCTGGAAAGAAATCAGGTGTTTCCTGTCTTGAGCAAGAAGGCTTCACAAGTTCAGATCTGTGGAGGGAAGGAGCCTATTTCTGACTCTCCCAGTTTCTGTACACTGTAATCCCCACAAGGCTGCTGTTAGCATTTACCATGATTTTTAAAAGAGGATTAGGAAATGGTACCCCTCCCTGAAGGAAAAGTGCTACTTAAGTTAACCACTGCACAACCTGAGATGCTCTGCCCTGGGGAGCTTTCTAAGTCCTGGTGAGACATGGACATGCACTCATGCCTTTTTCCTTCTCTCTGGAGTCTTCCTTGCCTCCCTTTAGGTGTTTGAACTCCTCTCAGGAATCCTCAAGCACTTTGCTCATTCTCTTACTTGTTTGCACAGTAACATTCCCGAACTGAGCAATTTTATCACTGAAAGTGTCAAGAAGCACTGGGAAATGCTGCACCCCAGTGCACCGCAAGATCTCATTGATTGCTTTCTGCCCTGCATGGACCAGGAAAGAGCTGGGCTGGATGACAGGGTGTGGGAAAGGGAGCTGGACATGGTCCTGATGCTGACCTAGTATGTTTGGGTACAGATGTGTGTGAGTGTGGTGCTTAGGTGAGCTGGGCTTTTGGTTTGTGGGAACCTTTGGTGTAGAGAAGTGGGGTTTTCCCCCAGGTTTTTGTTGTCCTGAGCAGTGAATTGAGCAGGATACACAGAACCAGTAGTGAAAGTGTCCATTTCTTGAAGGCAGAAAAAATATATGCTGTGCAGAGTAAGATAGTACTGGAGAAAAGGCTCACAGTGGCCCTGAGGATAGGGGTCATTTCTGGTTAATAGGCTAAGTCCCTCTCAGAGGCCTGTTCTGGGCATGTGTGGCTGCTCCTGCTAAGTCGTATCCTCTGTTAACTGCCTATGTTCTTACTCATAGATGTATCATGATATGCAATCCATATGGATAAGTATATAATTAATATGGCTGTAGCCCATGATTACTTTTAGATACTTTGAGATGTTTGTGTGGCTGAGTTGGAGGTTTCCCCAAGGACTGATTTATGAGCTATTACTCTGAGGCTATTGTGTGGGAGTCAGAGAAGTGAGTCTTTGGGCAGGCCAGGACACCTAAAGGTTGAAGGAGAGGTGGTCCTTAGTCCATGGTTGAAGTGAGGGCATGCTCTCTCCGGTGGTAGCTACTAGTTTAGTAGAGTCTGGGATGCCTGTGTCTATGGTGGAATGTATTTGGGTGATGGATGAAAGTGGTCAAATATGGTGATCAATCAGGAAAACACACACACACACACACACATACACACTCAGACATTTATAATTTATAACTGAATGGGTGACAAAAATGCTTGAAGTTGACAAGGCACTTTATTTTTATTCAAATGTGCTTTGAATGCACTTTTGTGGTTTACAAAATGTTTTGCAATTTGCAAAACAGTTATACAAAGAATGCTGCAGTCAAAATTGTTACTTGTTGGAA